GGTTATTCCGCGCGACCTGCAGTCGTCATCTGACGTTCCCGTCCTGTTGCTAAATCAGCCTAATTATTCCACGAGTGCGCGTTAGATATGAGATGGCCACGTGCCGGGTTGGCTATTTGCCATCTCATATCCAACAAGCGCGAGTTTTTACTAAAAACGGCCCCAAAATATAGAAAACTAAACTAAAATACAGATCAAAACGCCCCCTCCCCCCNCCCCAAAAAAAAAAAAAATCACGCGTACCCTTACCATATTTGTTGAGCATGATATAATGGATCATAACCAATGATAGCTAAGCCAGTGAAACCTCTCGAATTGCATTATCCACTGATCCAGTTTTTTAACAAATGTCGATAACTTACAGAAATAATCAGCATACCAGTTATAGCAAAGAATCACTGTTCTTTTCCTCATGCGAGGCGTGCGCACGAGATCCAATGGCGACCTTTGAATTTGAGTCGATGAAGTTCTGGTCTCAACAGCTTGGCATCCCTTCAGCATGGAAGTGAGGGTGTCTGAGTCCACCACCACGGAGCTCTTCTCAGCGTACTTCACAAGAATGCCATGCGCAACTTCTAATCTACCCTGAGCGACAAGCCATCTCAGAGACTCAGGAAACACTCTAAAAGGATAGAAAAACAGCCAACTTGACAAAAATTATAACAGAGAGAGTGTGGAGGGTGCGCTTAACTGAAAACCGGGATTTTGTTTTAATGGACCATGCATAAACTCACTGAATTAACAACTCGTCGGCGGCAATTTAAGTATATGCTGTCCACATTCTCGCGCTAAACTGAACTATATAACACGACAGAGGCCCAAGCAAAAGAAATGTAAAACCAGCTTCTCAAACTCCCGGTGATAATTCATTAACTTTAAGCAAAGGAAATCATGACTATGGCGGTGTTTGGATATCTGATCTTACTTAGCATAGATTTTAACGATTTTAATTCTCCATTTTCTCCTTAATTTTAGTTTCAATTGAGAAGATATATCAAACACTCAAGACCCCGAAGTTCGTCAAAAATACTCCACTGCGCGTCGTATTTTCAACTCTCTTCTCGGTGTTTCAAAATGTGGTCAAACACGGTATTTCGTGTTTGATATATTACTTCAATATTTCCATCGTATTTAAAACGATTCTCTGAGTAAGGCGATATTTCCGGTTAAAATTAATATGGAATATTTTATGTGGTATGGTCGCATACCCACCTCCACAATACATAGAAAAGTCCCGCGGGAAAGCTGGCGATGAGCAGGACTTGTCTCCAGTCTCTTACGAGGTACGCGATCAGCACCATAATAGAGGCGCCTATCACCCAAAAGATGTCCTGAACTTTTCCCGCCAGAGTGCGATAACTGACTCCAACCAGCTCCAGGATATACACATAGTGGCCCACAAAAAGACCGGCAGTGGCCGCACCCGAGCAGAAACGAAGGAATGTAAAGAACGACAAACAGTCCGCAAAACTAGATGATATGCTAAAACCAAACTAAAACAAAAAAAGGCAAGGTGGTTAAATGATAGTGTCGTAGTTAGTAGTGAAGGTCAGCGTCTGATCCACCTTGATCGAAAGAGAAACAAAATTTCAAAAACGCTGTCTTGTTATTTTCGCGCCAGAATTTCAGGACCGTGCGACAGCCAATCACAGCCACTATACTAGTCTGTGTCTGAGATATGTCGTAGAAATTAAATGAAATATTTTGGGCTCGAATCTTTATTTATGAAAAAGGTTTTCTTACCAAGACTATATTTAGCTGGTTTCAAACGCTTTCACGGTGAAGCGAGGAAACCACGCCACAATTTAATGATAAGTTTAGAGAACTTGGCAAGTGCAACATACAAAGTACCGTTTTATATCATTCGTTCCGTCGGCTTAGCATGCCTTCTTTAATTAACTAGTGGAGGATAAATTAAATCGAGAGAAGTAGAATTAATTCGAGCCTACAGACTTGCAAAACAGTGCTAACTCCAACAAAGCTAACGCAAAGCGCGGGAAAATGTGTGCGAGCAAATCACAATTCGTGTTGGCTTTACTTCTGATTGGATAAAAAGTGACGCGACTTTTTTTAAGCCAATCCTGTAGCATTGTCAAAACCAACACTTTTCGACACTCAAGTGAAAACCGTTTTATTTGCTTTCATTTAGTTTGACTCACCGCCAGCGCGCTGCACAAGAACAGACAAAACCTCCTCCCAAAATAGTCAGATATCGCTCCAAAGAAGAGAGATCCAGCCATCATGCCGACCACAAATATCGACTGAACAACAGCGGCAACGTTGGCCTTGTCGCAAATCAGATTCCACTGAAAAAATGAGATCAGGAAAAAAGGATTTTTACATTATAGAAGACGCTTATCATGGTAATTTGTCTGCCGTTTATTCACAGCGTTCATGATGGACATATGAAGAAAGTGAAAGTTAACGAAAACTACTGAAACAGAACCAACAAACAAACGAAAAGTAGCTGTCTCTGTAGGAGGCGCAAAAATTCAATGGAGGGACTTTGCGGTCTATACATCAGAAACTGAAAAACCGCGTAAAATTGCCAGCAAAACCGAAAACCGCCAGTAATGATTCAGAAGCCATACTCCCCATACCTCGATACAACAACGAAACATGTAAACAATAGCCTCCATTTGGCGAGAAAATACACGCCAATATTTATCCACGGCCATTATCTGTTTCGAGAAGCGAACAGTTTTTCGAGAGCGAAGCTCCTAAAGCTCGTGGAAAACTGGGACGTGAGCTTCGAGGAACAGATAATTTCCGCGGACAAATACCCGGGCGTATTTTCGCGCCAAATGCAAGCTAGACTCTTCAAATATTTTTCGCAACACGGGAGATCGTGTGAAAATTGAGGAATATCACTAGGATATACTCCACTTTTAACTAGGACATATTCAGTCACGTGACGATTTAAGACCAATCGCTTCCGAGCGAAAATATTTGATGGATTATAAGCCTAAATATGATAGAAGGCAGAGGAGATATAAAAGTGGTCTCATGCTCCGAAAGCTAAGCACTAAGGCACTAAGCCCTGCGGCCAGCTGCCGATAATCAAAGTACACTCGAACAATAACAACATTGGAAACCGAAGCGTGTAGCGAAAACTAAAAACTGCCTTTCTAATTCCACATGTTAACAAGGGGAAAAGCGAAACCCGGAGCGGATATCAAAACTGAAAAAACAGGAACTTGTAAGTGCAAAAACCGAAAATTTTAAAAAATGGGCGAACCAAAAATCAAAATAACTTCAAATTTTACGCAGAAATATAGGACGAAAGTTCCGGGGGGGGGGGCGCCAGGAGGAGCAGGTGCGTGAGGAAATGATAGCAGCTCTTCTATCTCCCCTTATGTGCATATCCATCGCCTAAAGCAACCCATAGCCAAATGATATTGATAATGTTTAGAGCGGGATCCTCAGTATCTATCCCCCACTAGAGTCCATTGACTAACCCACCCCTCCCCCTCCCCTCTCCCCCCTCTGCCCAGAAGCTCTTTGCGGCCACATCGATAAGTTTGTCTTTCTGGCTAATTTCTTACCTCAGTCGCGGTACTGGTGAATGAATCGTCAAAAACGTAGCTCGTGCAGTCTTCACAACACTTGCTCTCCTTGCACGTGACGTTAGGTGTCACGCAGTGGAACTTCGGTGTTCCAGTGGCAAACACAAGTGAGGCTATCTGTAACGCACTTGGCACAATGACAAGAAAACAAGACGAAAAATACAGAAACTTTTGCCACAAACCAAACTCGCCGACATACCGCAAAATATCGTCAAAGTGCTTGGTTACGGAATCAGCTTCTTGAGGCATTCTGTCATATGAATAAAATATATGAATATAATAAAATAAGGGATACACCTTTAAAGAAATTTAGAAACATAAATGTTATAGACCCTATTCATAAATGGCCGCCAATTTAAATTCTTTTTTATGCATTTAGATTAGCCCAACTAACCTCGTTTGAGAGTAAAAAAAATAATTTTTAATTGGCAACCATCTATGAATAGGATCGCTCTGTTTGTTTCCGCTGCTTCTTTGCGCGCAAGCAGTTTTGGATTCACAAGGGACGTTGTATTTTTGTTTTGTTTTTTTTTTTTTCAGTTTTACGTCAGAAATTCGAAAGATGATCTAAAATTGTATAAAGTTTCTACTAAGTTCAGGCTGTTCAGGGGAATTTAATCTGGCGTTAAGAAGTTAACGTTGAAATATTGACATTTCCACGGCCTCACACACCACTAGAGCTTAACGCGAAATTCAAGCTGTTTGGTTTTTTTTTCACCCGACTTCAGACACTTTCGTGACGATATTATGTTATCACACAGAAAGTGTGGCTAAAATCATGGCCCATTCATAATTTTAATTCTAGCCGGCATTCATGCAAGGCAAAAAAGTAGCCGGTCCGAGTGCGTGTGGCAAAAAATCTTTTACCTCTACAGAGCAATTTAGCAGAGTCGCATTACCTGCCTTTGTTTTCTATCTTCCACTGTACTGTAGTATTTTCCCACAATTCGAATCAAGATCTAGATCAAATATCCTTTCGTGTGTAACAGCCTGTCCTCTCCCAGACTCTCCGAGGTGTGTTGCGTGTTGGCACTAACCAAACACTGCAGCTGCCCGCATTCATTACTAGTACCCGCTTGTATTTGTACTTGCCAAATGACGATGAAAGTAATGATAAATATTATGCCTACCTCTGTTGCTCAGTGAAACAAAGCTTCTCCTGTTAAGAGAAAAGTGTACAAGGCAAGAGGGTCAAGAGAACTTGCTGTTGTTGATCCGGTTCGATTCACAGCAAGTCAAACGGAAACCAATTCCTCAGGGCTCACCCCGATTGACTGCATGCACGCGAATCACGAATCAGTGTCCCGCAAAAATTAAAATAGCCTACGTGTAGCCGTACCCACCCCCCGAGGAAAAACGGGAGGGAGGGGTTAAAATTAAAATTAGGGGTCATTCTCTCTCTTCCTGTGGGTTTTATTCCCGGGGGGTTTCAAGTTTCGTCGTCATACTGGTACTTTGAAACAAACAATTGGCTGTTCTTCCTAAGAACATGACGTTTTACAGAGACTAGTGAGCGCGTTTGAAAGTTTTGTGACATATAAATGATGCTGTCGCGCACACGAACAGTCACAAGGCTTCATGGTGACCATATCGTTGTCGCTAAGACTACAGACCACGCTAACCCACCCACGGCCGTGCGTTTATAAGATGACGTGTGCAGTTTCAAATTAACTGTAAAATTTCCGTCGAGCTTAGTGCAAGTTCCTTTTGTTTAAGTTTCGGCAAAGTGAAGATTATTCTGAACAATCCAAACTCTACTTCGAGCCTTTGACTTTTCGGCAAGCTAAGATATTCACTTAAACTTGAGTATATTTTGACCTTGTTTGTCTACATTTTCATTGAGTATTTTTGACTTTGTTTGCCTACATTTTCATTATAATTAATTCGAAGAAGCGAATTTTTCAATGACAATTTAAGAACCAGGTTAAGCGTTTTCGTTCAATCGTTGCTCAGCTTATTGTGGCGTGTTAGGATCCTAATGACCTTTGTTTTCCTTCGCCGTGCATTGTGAGAACTTTGTAGTCAATTACAAATAGAACGTGTTTAGCGCCCAATATGTTGTCGCCATGTTAGGGCAAAAACCATACCCTATTTATGACCAAAACGGCTGGAAAACCATACCCTTTGGGGCCGCACATACCTATATAGCGCATATCACGGAGTACCCCCCTGCCCCCCCGGAGCATTTCAAGCTTTTGCTAGGTTTTGCGTTGTGTGACATGTGAAGGTGTCTCGCAGGTCAAAAGTAGATTGTTTACAGCCTCTTCAAGTTATTTTTCAACGCGCGCGAAAGAAATCCGAGAGAGTTAGGCGAGCGGAAAGCAAGTGAGGGTGGGGTGATTACAAGATACCCGCATTCCAGTAACAAAAAAGTTTCATCCCATCAGCTAGCACAAAAAATGACAAGTGTTCTCCAACTACCAATTGCCAGGATTGCCTACATGTACATTTTAATGGCATTGTTTTACAACAGGAAATAACTCTGTATCATGCAATGAATCAGTTAATCTTTTACAAGTTTTCCTGACAGTTTTGCTGACTTTCACAAATAGTGTGCAATGGTGAAAAAAAAGCAGAAAATGTCAAAGCAAGTACATGTTGAAACAAGTCTGTTGATATTGTGAAAACGCACCCTCCCTCCGCTCCCTGGCTAATGTACAGAAAACATTAGCCTAGCGGAACTGGAGGAGCCATTGCAGCTGGGGACATCTAAGTAACACCCCTGTATTGTGGGGATCAGCCACGCGGACAATGGCGGAGAAAAACAAACAAAAAGAAAAGAGTGCTTTTTTTTTCACTTCATCATTTATTGTACTTATAAATTAATTTCTCTTGCCCCAGTGTTATTTTTTATGGAATCTTTATAAAATAGTTTGTACAAAGTACGATTGAGCATTTCTTGATGGTATTAATTCCAGGGGATGTACAAAAAAGCTTCAAAACAGATTGAAAAACAAAGTTCAAATTACAATACTGTATTTCCTCCAATAATTCAGGACAATAATTTCCCATGTTCAACGAATTATTGTGAATCATCTCCCACCTTTGAGTGTTCCCCCATTTTGAACTCATTTTTTTAAAATTATCCCTCTCTTCATCGATCCTTCTCTCGGAAACTTTGAACCACTTACTTTATAAATCATATCTCTCTGAACGACCCTAGTTAGCCTCAGCCATTTTGGATGAATTCGAAATTATTGATATTGCATTGGGAAGTGAAACTAATTGCTTTACTGTAAGTTGTGTTCCTGAAAGTATGTTTCATTATCATTAGTAGTTTCATAGTGATTTCCCTCGTTTCGACATGCTCTGAATAAAATACAATAGCCAAACTATCGCATGTAAACAAAAACAAAGATGTGGCTGACTAGGGCTCTTTAAGGTCGTGTTCTCAATGGGATCAACCCTTTCTAGTTGATTGGTTTGGTTGGGGTTTTTCGTGTTGTATTGGGGAAAACCAATTTTGGTTGGTGTAATTGATCCGCAGTGTGAACTCTGTCAACCGGCATCAAACCAGGTTGAAACGGTTGAAAAAGCATTTGCGTGATTATATCGCGCGACTGTCACTTGAAAGGGTCAATTTGTAACCTTGTGGGCAAGTTACAAAAGCCCTGTCGCCATCTGAAATACTGCTATCACTTAGTATATCTTTCAGCCAAGCACACCAGCCCTTTGACTTTCTTCTGAAATATAGAAATAGAGGTGGACTTCTCTTTCGTATTTTTATCTACAAATAAGCTTACATGCAAATTTTCAGGTTTATATCCTTCAAGAGGAATTTTTTTTTTATGGACATTTGAAATAAGAGGGATTTGTGTGGGAAGACGACGCTTTGCACTCCAGTCATGCTCCTGTGGTTTTCCATACAAATCCATGTAATTTTGTAAGTTTTCAAACTATCATAAAATCTCTGCCTTTCGGTTTAAGAGCCTAGAATTTTCAGTTCTTCCTTATAGTTTACCCTCCTTTCTATCTCCAATTGCTACATGCCAGCAGCTCCCTTTTACAGTAATAAATAACGGAAAAAGTTTCTGGAGGGCAAAGCTTCCTCACTCCACATTATACCTTTCTTTATATTTTTGCGATATTTACGTTGTAAATCGTCATTTTGGGAGCCACTATCTATAAATGTAGACCAAACACCGGCACAAGTCGGAAAATCGATTTGCTCATTTTTTGCCCATAGATTGGTTCTAGCTATAGAACCCACGGACTAAGCTCAAGATTTCTATCAGGGAAATAGTTGATTCAGCCTTCAGCAACTAATTGACCACCACTGATGTGTTGCATAAAAAGAGCTTTTACTTATAAATAACTACAGAAATGCTTCAATGGTTTTTAGTTCTCATATTGTCAAGACATCAGCCGCTACTTCATGGCTGTGTTGAGTTTGAAGATCACTCAGCTTCTTCTTGAGCACAGACAACCCAGATATCACAATTGTCTCGGGTTTTAATGAGCCACAGGACTACAACAAGATAAACAAAAAGAAATAAGATCAAAGTCATTATCTTTTCAAATTCCCTCGGCCTAAATTACTCTCCAGTGCCCCCTGCTCTTTTTTCGTTCGCCCGCCGGCTTTTTTCACTCATCCTCACTGACCCAATGCCTGGAACTGGCTACTTACTTTGAGATGTTCGGCATTTGACATTTATTTGGAGGGGAAAAAAATTTGATAAGTTCTAATTTGAATCATTATGTGGAAAGGGTCTTTTGAATGCTAACAAACAACCAGACAAGCAAAAACAATAGAAATTATAACAACGAAAACAAACATTGAAGAAATATAGAAAAAAAAAGACAACAAAAATAACAGATAAAATTGTTACAGTTTTCATATGGCTACAAACTTTTGATACAGGGTGATGCAGTAAGGTTGAACAAAGTATATCCAGCTTATTCAATGCTATTAAGGGCTCTTATCGAGCTAGATTTTTGTCTTTTAACTTAACAAGCATCTAACCTCAACATTAAAGTAGAACTTGTCTGCTTTAGCATTTGCATCAAATGGCGCTTGATCTGAACAAAAGAAAAAAATTCTCAATGACCTGAAGCATACAAATCCCAGGAAATGATGACAATTAAGAGGATAAAATTTATTACATGCTATATGTAGGTAATGTGGTTGAATTGGTTTACTTACAACTATCTTCATCCAACTCTGTGTATTCACTTTTAGGCCTGCAAAAATAAACACTGAGATTAAATCTAAATCTAGAGGAACTTTTAAAAAACTCTTAACAGAGCTTGAATGCATCTTTACCATTCCTCAGGTCTTGGGTATGTCGTGTGTCTCAGAGCATTGTCAGGGTCATATTCAAATGCCACACCTGCTGTTGGATTCCACTTTGCATGTTCTTTAGCAAAGCCCTAACAAAAAAAAGCAAAAAAAAAAGAAAAAAAGAAAAAGAAAACAACAAAAAATGAATTTAAAAGCAGTTGAAGGAACAATGCACATTTGCTACTGTAGAAACTTGCCAAAGATAATGCATTATGAATAAAAAAATAGCATTTAGTGACCTTTTTAGCGTAGGCCCGAAGCTTGAGTTCCTGTTGCCAAAGGAGATAAAACATAAACATGTATTGAGCTAAAGAAATTGGAAAACAATTCTTGATTGAAAAAACCTGAAGAATCTAAGATCTCACCTGCCCTTTACGAAGTTTTACAATCAAAATGTCTGAAACACAAAAAGGACTAAAAGTGAGACACTTGAAATGGGCTATTAAAAGTTGTTGTTTGTTGTTGTTGTTGATTACAACTTTAAGTAATTGCGCTTTGCTATCAAATCAAACCGCGTCATTCAATCAGATCCACGTTGTACTATATCTTGAAAACCTCTCAAAGTTATTTTACAGTTACTAAACAAATGAATATAAACCTACCATCCTGTTCGCCATATTCACTGTTTTCATCGTCATGGTGTCGTGACGTCACCTAAATGTACAATGCATACAGACAAAACAGAAGTGATGAACAACTCTGAATGCATGGTGTTCAAAACTGAGGGCAAAATTTTGACTAAAATTACTTCCTTAGCAATTTGTCTTCACATTGATCACGGTTGGTAAAAAAAAGGACCCATGACTACTTACTGGAATAACTCTTGGCTCTGCTGATATGAGGTCCCTTGTCGTTACATGCCTGGTTTGATCGTCTGTGCATTTTACATCAAGAGTCAGCTCCACAGAACAGTCGGGACAGAACTCGTCACAAGTACAGTCCTTCAAGAAAACAGTCAGTTCTTATAGTAAGACTATGTATGGTCGGAGGAGCTAGATAATACCTTGGCTCCAGTTCTTGATTTGGGTTTCTTGGAGAATTGCTACACCCAAAGATGAAATACTTTTCTGCTACAGGTTACATGTACATCATCTCCTGTCAGTGCCCATTTATTCCTAGTAGGTGAGGAGCTGGATTGTTGGAAAGCTCCTAATTGAATGAATGCAAACTTCTTTTGTTAAATTCATCGTTTGACAAAGCGCAAATTGAACCGATTGGTCTTTCGAAAAGCTGATCAAGAGGGATATTTTTTGTTTGTTTTGTTACATGTATCTCAAAATGCAAGACACTTGACTTGAAACTTGAAGATTTCTACTTGAGACTTGATTCTCAAGAACGTTCGTTTAGTTGGTTCACTCAAGTTTCAAGTGACTGCCACCTTGCAATTTACCAGTACTGAGGAAAACCTGCCTATGACTTCCATTATAGCCATTCTGGGAAAACATGACAATCTAATTAAAGACCCTTTTGAATATGAAGACAAAAGTCTGCATCTGTACTTATTTTTAGTCAAAAGCAATTCATCTATGAGATACTTGGAGCTAATTATCACACTTACTCTGGAATAGTTCAGTCGATCCACGTTGTCGTCACTGGTCAGAGGGATGAGACCTAAGATACATAGGAAACCATGACTTAGTAAGGGACCTGAGTGAAACTGTCATCTGATCTCATCTAGTTGTTTTTAAGATAAGTGAAAATATGAACATTTTGCGGTAGCACTTGACATCATGAAAGCATTAAAATCGAAATTCTCCTCTTTTCAATTCCTGAAGTGAAGCCTTATAAGCACTAAATGGGCTAGCTCTCAATAGTTAACTCCAGATTTGATTACTGTCTCCAGGACTGATTTTTACCTTCTTCTTCTAAAGAATCAGACAAATGACCCAACAGAGTGGCCAGCCAAAATCATTGAGCAAATATAATAGAAAAATTCATGGAGTAGATGGTGATTCCACTGGCAGCTGGTTACTTTTGTCAACACTGGTACATGTCATACCTTAGGACACAAACTGAAGCAAAAAGAATAACAGAATAAAGTAACTGAGTCAAAATGTACATATTTACCAAGCCTGTGGGCAATAAACTCATCATGTAGTACTGATGTGTTATTTTCAATCTGTACCCAGTCTATTGCTAGAAAAGGAACAAGAAAAAAGAATTAAGTTATGTGTTGTTAAAACTTGGGAGGTGAGGTGGCCTCATGGTTAGTGCGCTCGTCTCCGGATCGAGCGGTCCCGGTTCGAGCCCTGGCTGGGGACATTGTGTTGCGTTCTTGGGCAAGACACTTTACTCTCACAGTGCCTCTCTCCACCCAGGTGTATAAATGGGTACCGGCGAACTTAATGCTGGGGGTAACCCTGCAATAGACTAGCATCCCATCCAGGGGGGAGTAAAAATACTCCTAGTCGCTTCATGCTACAGAAACCAGGATAAGCTCCGGCCTGATGGGCCACTTGGCTCGCACGCAGACTTGTTAAAACTTAACACTTTCTTTCTATTGCTACATTGTAGATCTGGATACAATTCTATGTAAAAGATATTTGTAACAACAACCACAGGCAGCTCAAGATCATGATTTAAAGAACACAGAAAGATTTCTGTTTCATGATTTGCAAATGTATAGGAAAATACTCTAACACTAGCAAGGCTATTTTAATTCTGCTTCAATTCATTAAGTTATGCAATACCATACTATGGTTCCCTCACAGTCTTACACAAACCCAAATTTATAAGCGACCAAGCTTCTTTGAGAACAAGACCACCCAATCTAGAATATAAGGTACTTGACAGCATCTTGTAACATATGGTCTAAGGCAATTTTACCAGCATACATCACATAAGCAACACAACCCTTATGAAGTTTCATGCATGCTCCAGCAGTGTTAAATAATAAAAGCAGAGGTATAAATTGAACTATAAAATATTTCAGCTTATGTTGATACCCCATAATGTTGAAAAGCCATAAATGTACAAATTCTGCATAACATTTACACAAAGTAATCTTTTAGACTATAAATCAATAACCAATGTTCTCACAAGAAAACTGCTTTAAACCTGGTTTTCATGAATGTTACCTGTTTCGCACCCAATCGAGTTTGCACCCACCAAGTTCGCACCCCTGAACTCATTACCGGTATTTTCACTGGCCCACAAGCAGAGGCATCAGCAAGGTACTGTTACAGAGGCAGTGGAGCATTTTGAATCATGAGAGGGCTCATTGTTAAGCCAAGCGCATACCTCTAAAATTGTATTTTCCAAAATGTCTTTTGCATGGTTTGTTTGCACAAACAAACTCCCTTGCAATGTCTACAGTGTTCAGCGTGTCCGTAATAGACCAGTTTATGAAAATGCAGGCAGAGGAAGTTGTTTAGATGATCCTTCTTCATGATTCTTCTAAGGAACACAGGCCAGAGCTGTTCAAAAAGTCTTACAGAATATTATTTCACCAAGCTCGAGCATGATGAAAAGATTTGTAAAAAGATCATGAAATGGAATATTTTGTCAAACTAATTTTAAGCTGCATTAGCAATATTTTAGACACCGAAATGTGCTGGGCTTTTTATTTGGGGGAACTACAGCGCCCCCTGCCCCGCCGCCTATGCCTTTAACAAGGTAGTGTCTTTTGTTAGGAAACAATCCTAATAATCTTACTCCATCAGTGTATGTTGGCTTATGGCTATATTCTTTTGCTAGTGAAAAACAGACAGAAGCATTATTCCCTCATTTCCTGTTTTTGCAACAACGTCCAAAAAAAGTTATAAAATGAACCAAGAAAAAAACATTTAAATGTACCTATAGTTGGGGTTTCAGCGATAAATATTCTTCGGAGGCCATTGGCCATGCTACAGCAGAAAGGAAAAAAAGATGAGAATGAGGTAAATGAAATAGTAGATATAAAATGCATTGCAGTCTACCAAACTGTGACACTGATCTGACATGTGGAGAGTACTTTACCTCAAGTCTGTATTCTCGATCGTAAACTTCACATTTTCTTCCGTAAGTTCGGTAATTTTTACACTGGGCTGGTTTGCATATGGCATTTTGTCGTGATTTTATCGATTCTACTACAAGTCTTGTTTCTGTAGCAGCAAAAAATCCAATATGGCGTCTCGTTTGACCGAACAGACCTATGGGATGAAACGCATGGGGTCTGGTAACCAAAACTGTGATTGGCTAATTCTAAAAGAATAAATGATCTGATTGGTCCATTTGAATTGAAAGCCGGTTTAAAAAACCTTTTTTCCTGTACCGTCTTCCATATTGCCGTTTCAAATCGGAAAGTGACAATCGAAATTACAGTTTATCAAGTAGGAAGTAATGGCTGTGGCTAGGTGAGACATTCAAACCACTTTTGTCGTGATCATTGAATTCATTTACCACTTCGACCAAACCAAACCAAATCCTGAAACTCGATTTGATTTCCTCGCAGATTAAAAGTGGACGTGCGTCAACTTCTCTTGGATTCGTTCAAGGTAGGGCTGGTTAAGTTTACGACTTTCATTCTTTTTTCGCAACAAGCATGTTCTTTGTGGCCTAATCAAGTTTGTGTTTTCTGTTTAAAAGAATCCAGACTTTTCAGCGTGTCCATGTGGAGATAACATGTTACAGTGGATTGGAACGATACGCGGAGGGAAAGGAACGGTAAGCCTAATGAATTAAGCTTATGTTTGATCAAATTTCTGCTGCCGTACATGCAAGCAGGCATTAGTATGTTTTGTTTCTTCTAGTTCTGGTATTCGGACAATCCGTACAGAACCTATTCGTACCAGCTTTGAAGGGTTCTTTCCTTCTCTTATTTACGCAGCTGAAATTCCTGTGTTACAGCCTATGTCATATGGCTGGGAAACAGACAAAAGTGCTTACTGAAGTTCGTTTGGGTTGCACAAATCAGCCGAAGCTGGCCACAATAAGCTGAGGTTTAAGTCAAACTTTTCGTCAATAAAACCCAGAAGCTCCTTCGGGAAAGCCTTGTCTTGTTGTGTGCCTTATTCTCGGCTTATTCATGCTTTTTATTCCAGGCATACGAGGGAAGAGAATACAAACTAATGTTGGACTTTCCAAGCACGTATCCTCAAAAACCTCCAGTGGTGAAATTCAAGACACCATGCTATCACCCAAATGTTGATCAACAAGGAAACATTTGCCTAGACATCTTGAAGGTAATAAATTCACTTGAAACTACAGTAATCCAATGGAGAAAGAAATACAAAGTACAAAATTGTGCATAATATAATCGTTCTTCTCTTCTTCATTCTACATGTAGGAAAACTGGTCTTCCTCATATGATGTTAGAACCATATTACTGTCAATACAGCTCTTACTAGGGGGTATGTATTACTTGTAAAAGATGATGGTGTGAGAGAGTAAGACTGCATTCGCACAGGACCGTTTCCAAATAGATCTGGTCCAAGAATCAAACTGGATAGGCCTTTTCGATTTCACAGGACATTATTTATTACATGTAGGTCCCAATCAGTCCCATTTACAGACCAGGGGCCTGTTTCTCAAGGTGCTGAAAAGTTTTGGCACCCTGAAAACCATAGCAAAATCTCAAACCTTATGATTACAGAGCTGTTTTATTTGCACGATCCTAATTAAATATGAACAGAGGTTTCCTTTATACAAGAAGATTCAGGCATATAGACTTTGCTGTTTTTAGATTTAAGGGCTTAAAAAGTTTCCGGGGCTTTCAAGAAACTAAGTGTAAACAAAACAAACCACGCTGTCCGCTGGATGGAGTGATTTATCCAGTGGATAGCGTTATCCATCTTTCAAACAAACCATGCCAGCAAAAAAAAAAAAAAAAACATTCTAGTTAGTTGTGGTAGATTTCCAGTTAAAACAAGACCAGCTTCTTGTAATCATCAAGGCCATTTACCTAAGTACTATATATACTAGGCTAGTTCATTTTGGGACCACCTGGCCATGTTTTCAATATTAAAATTCAGCTTGACAGCAAGGCCTAGGGAATACAAACAAAGGAAATCTATGAGCATATTTATCCATGCTCTTGCTCATCTCTTAACCTTGCTACCAAGCCTAACCTATCTAAAGCAGTCTATTGTTGCCATGTTCACAAGGGACTAAAATAATGGACCATTTGGAAGGTCCATTGACCATTAATAGATAACCTCTGTGAGCATCTGTGCACAATTATTGTGCACAGATGCTCATGTAGGTATCTGGTCCAAGGTAAATGGACCTAATCTGGTCTAAAAACCGAACCATTTAGGAAAATTCTTGCATGAACCTGATTATATTTTAAAGTCTTGATGTAAATACAGCATGACATAATGTTGTGGCAGTAAATATATGACATTTTTTCCCCTTAGAACCGAACAATGACAGTGCACTTAATGCAGAAGCTGCAAAATTTTGGAATAAAGAAGGTTTGTTTAGAACTTTGATTTTGTCACCGAACAATATTAAACTGAGCTTGAACATGAATGTAATTGACTGTTTTCTTTTTTTCTATTCAGTTTACCAGAAGAAATTGGAGAAGTTTGAAAAGGAAATGGCAGCAAAATATTAATTACTTTTAATTAGGCATGTAAATTAGTTATGGAGGCAATTCAGATGCTACATACACTGTCTTGTAGCTGCATGTATCTTGTAGCTGTATGTCACAGCTACATGTATTTTTGTTTGTTTTAAACAAATGTTATTAGGAATAATTATTTAAAAATGAATCCCCATTTTTACTAACAAGTCTGTTTCTAAAGTCTAGTTCAAATCTAGACAATAAACTTTACTAAGATTCTTAAATTATAAATAAATATTCTTTTCATACTGTGCTTTCATCTTGTTTGGAGCTGTTTTGACTTGTAAATACATGTTACTAGTTAAAAAAATTGTTGGAAATAAAATGAAGTTTGTGTTTACAAAATGTTAAATTACAAAGCCATGTGTAAATGTATCTTCTTCTCTAAGAACAACCTGATTAACTTTTCAGGGTTCATAAAATTTGTATTGATATAGCTTGCATCACAGGTGTAAATGGGGAAGGAGTTGGGGAGGGGGTGTGAGGAATAAGGGGAAGTCCAGTCCCCACATCTCTCATCCCTGCTCTCTTCTCCCCCATTTTACAACTGCTGTACAGGCTCATTACATTGAAATTCAGGCATTTCTGAGAAAAACAAAAGAAAGAGAAAAAATTGGAGCAAACTTCCCCTCTTGCACTTTAATGTAATCTGCCTAAGCAATAGCCTGCAAATGCAGACGTATTTCTGGCTGTCACTTGGTTCTGCTGAAAAATAACGCCTGCGAACCCGAGCCAGGAAACGATTTCTGTGACATAATGACTTTTGTTTCTCCTTGGCCAATCAGATTCCATGATAGAATGAAACTCCAGTGCTCCTCGCAGCGAATACCTCGCGCAGTAGTTCTGGGGTTATTTAAGCTAAACTGCGATTGGCTTAGAATTCCTATGCTACAGAAATCGTTTTCTGGCTCGGGTTCACAGGCGTTATATTTCGGTGGAACCAAGTGACAGCCGGAAATACATCTGCGTTCGCAGGCTACCTAAGCGATGGATTGAAACAAAATTAATTTAACAAATTAAAGCAGTCTTGGATTTTTATCATGGAGATGGCAATCATGTTTTGTGCTTCTTTACTGCATGTTTCAACAACATCCAAACTCCAAGGTTCAAAACTTCACTTGACTAGCAAATAGTGTTTTTGGGTACCAAACAAACAAAATGGATCCAGACCGCCAATCACTGTGCAGATGAGACCTTGAGAGGTTGGCCAAGATGATTGACAGCAAGGAGACAGGGAACCATTGCTTGAGCAGAGTTTGCATGTTATTGAAATGGCACAATGATAATGATGTTGGCACATTGTGGATCACCAGTTTTGATGTTAGTAGTTTTGGTAAATTGGCTCTAGTTGTGGTCATCTGTTATTTTGTGTTGATGGGTGCTGCACAGTGGCAGCCACCTATTTTTTAAAGCAATGAATACCAGTATTGTACAGTAGTATTTCTTTGACTTTTTGCAGCTGACTGCAACAAATTTATGATCAAGGTTTTAAAGTGGGCCTTTTATTTACATGTGAGAACTGAAACCCTAATCCCTACATTAAGTCAATTCCATGCAAGGTTAAGCTCTCTGAAATAGTCACACTGAGGTTTCCAAAAAGTGTTAACACAAAGAGTTTCACATCTTGTAAGTTCAATCATTTACTGTGCCTTTCAAAAGCATGCTAACTAAAAGTGTAACTCAACTAATGGCCGTGTTTCACATTGAAGTCAACTGATTATGTCTGGGTTGTGTTAAGCATTACTTGATTTTCTCCCTTTTTTCCAGGGTTCATTGGTTTCAAATATTTTGAAGGCTACATTGCCTAATTTCAGCCATTTCTGAGCATAAAACACAGCATTCATGTTTTTATTCTTGTAGTCAATTGACAGCGGTGTTAAATGCAGTAAATTATTTCATTATATTAATATAGCTAGCTCCCTCAGTGGGCAAGATGAACGAGATCCTCCACTGTAATTGGCTACCTGAGTGGGAAGGATGGATGGATGCACCGGACAAGATTCCCATTGTGTCCTGTAAGAAACATTTCCCCGAGAGCCATATAATAAAATTATCCTTTATTGACCAAGCTTGTTTGGTCAAGATGGCTGATATTGGCCTCATTATTTTTTTGCATTAATTTTTTTTATGGACCTCGCCTTGGTCCATAATCATGTGTAAAAAAAAACTTGGTCAATATCCAGCCATCTTCACCTCATGCTTGGTCAATAACTCATATAGCTTAAGTTTTGAACTTAAGAGTTTCCATGTTACTGTAAATTCTGTTTAGATAATGTTAAAGCCCAAGTCTCCAAGGAACCTTATTGACAGGAAGCTAATAATTCTTAAACACTAAAAAACTCTGGTTATCAGTTTTTTACTTATTAAATTTATAAATTAGAAATGGATCAACTTGTACTTTACAGCAAGCAAGAGGTGAACATTTAATGAAATCCATCAAATAACAATAAAGAGAATCATGTTATTAATTCTACCCACACCAAACACAAAAAGAGTGGAAAGTCACTCTTATTCAAACAGGAACAAATAGCTGACAAGTTCTTAGTTTATCTACATGTACATTGTACCAGAATATTTGTCAACTCTCAGATGAAAAGGTTATAGTGTATTTACTGATCAGAGGTTTCAAGAATGTATAGCTGATAATAAGTTATTTGTGCATGGTGTAAATGTCAAGATGATACTTCTGATAACATATGAGATTTGCACAAACAAAAATACCTTACAGAAGTGAGTGCAAAATACCACAAAACTACAAAGTTCATCCCTGATGTAAATGCAAAATGGGAGAATTTAAAATTTTATGCCATACTATTAGTACTGCAGTTTAACACTGTTTTATGGTTTCACAATATTTTGATACTTGAAAATATAAAATCAATAAACAACCAGGACACCATCGTTTTTAAGTGCCTATGAAGCAGGACTTGACTGTCAGGAAAGAAACCTTGCAGCCAGCTTACCCCTAAGTTTTCATATTTAGTCTCCAGCAAAAGTATTTCAGTGAAAAGTGTAAAAAGTTATTCGTCAGTGAAAAAACTTTGGTTGTATTGGAAACCCCAGCAGTCGTAATGTTGAGCTCTGTGAAGCAAAAAATATTTGCTGCTTATTTGAAACGCTTTTCAAAGCAGCATCAGTTTTTTCACTTCACTAATCATAGGCACTTTAAGACAAAAAATTATGGGCTTACACAGCACAGAGACCAAGAACACAAGCAGCAGAATTCAACTGTATGGATTTTGTTTGTCCCTGAATCTCAGTTATTGATTGCACAAGGGATTGAATGGGTAGTGATACCAAAGACAGAGAGAACTAGACAGAAATGTCTTATAAGTGGAACTTCCGTTAGATAGGTGTGCATGTGTAAAAAAAATGCATACTGGTAGAAGTGTTTTACGCACAACTCTCTGACATCAGAACTGATCAAGATCTTTTATTTTACAATGGAACTAATCCTGAGTGACTTTAGAGACAAACCATGCCACACAAGTAAATATACGCTCAATAAAAGAAATTTGAAAAATAAATGATGGAGTTGCATAATAATTTGCATTATTACCCTATTACAAAATTAATTACATATGTCAATTGGAAGTTTGAGATTCCATAACCCTAAACAACCCATAAATAAGTGATAAAATAATTTTTGGCAGATAACGGTTAAGGAGACAAGTTTAAAAGACTTATAGTGCAGTAATTGGAAAGAAAATGCCGGTTTTGGTTTTCCTCAGACCTTGATCTACAAGACACACGAACAAGATTTTAGGGAAACCAAAAATACCTCCGACTGTCTGTTTTCCTTTCAAGGCAGTCATAATCAAGTGCATTGTTGTGCAGATGTCTACAATGTATATTGCCATTATTGAATTACAGACCCTTTAAAATGACCAAGATGACATTAAAGGGACATAGTCAGCTGGCGCACATGCGCATAAGATACCATTTCATAGCCTGCAGTACAGGTGGATTAGTGGGCTCTAGTGCGATACACGAGCATGCGAAGCGCGAGGCAAGAAAAATCCGCCTGTAGTCACACCATTGTTTATGCTCTTCCAACCATTCGCCTGGCGAACGGTTTTTGTTGATTGGTTGCTTTAAGCCATGTGAAAAAAACAAAATTTGTTTAACTCAGGTGACTGGCCTACATGGACTCCTATGGCTCATGACATTTCTACATTTGCCAATCTCTTACAAATTCCAGCCTCTCAACCTTTTATTTTGCTCTTCACTTGTTTTTGAAGGACACTTAATGTGGTAAAAGTAGAGTAGAGCCATTGTACTGTTAAGTAGAGGTCAGAGCTCTGCTTAGTTTCAGCTGTTATCTATCGCTTTGTAGAGTTTGACACCTCTGTAATTTGCCATGTGCCGAGTAGTGT